CTGTTGTGTACTAATTAATTAAATGAAATTTTCATGTTTATCCAGAAAACATTGTACTATAATCATAATCAATTCTCTAAGAAAGTTCTCTTTTCGGAATAGAATAGAAATTGATTCCAAAATGGCTATTTGTAGGAGTTAAAAATGATATATTTAAGGTTCAGAAGAAAGCAGTGGACCTATCATCTTCAAAAAGACTTCCGATGGCTGCTGAACAACATGTAACTTTTTGCTTGAAATTGGATGCTTCCAATAAAGTGATACGGTAGTGGTTCATTTTTATGAAGTGCTCACACTCTGATTACTCATTTCGAAAATTTCTGATTTTCGATCCTCAACATTCAGCATAATTATAAGGAATTAAGATAATACTGAGATTTAACGGATATCCGCAGTTGCTTGAATTAAAATATAAATTGCATTGCTGATAATTCGTCGTCCACAGAAATATTATCTACATTTTTTATTTTTCAATTTATTCATTAAATTTAAATAAGTTAGGAAGTTAGAACTGAAAAGTGATCTTCGTCATTTTTACTTTTCCGTCGACAGAAGTATTGAAAGTACATTGAAACTAGCGGTTATATGTTACATTGGTACGCCATCTAAGATAAGATTGATAAACAGGGAGATTATACAAAATGATAATTTTTAATTAAATTTTGAAATAAATTTTGGAAATGCACCAACCAACTGGGGAATTATTTCCAATTCAGTCTATGACTAATCGCTTCCCACTGTTACAATATTTTTAGTATACAACATTTTCACTGAAAAACGAAATTAATCGGACGTTCTTTGTGGTGTAAGCGCAACCGAGCATTAGTCTCTCGAAGAGGAGACACGACAGTTGTCGTTAATCATATGCTCTGAAGGCCATTGTCTGACCAAGTGCAGTATATAAATATCAAAACAAATAAATTCTATATATCCTTTGGCTAACTTTTAGGCAACTTTTTATGAATGTTAACGGTGTGCTTAAATTTGAGAACCTGAAATGAAAAACTTATTCATTCATTGATGTTACTGTTAACAATCTCAAAATGATTGCATATATGACTTTAAAAGATATTTTTCAATATCAATTCATGATCCTGCAAAATTTAATTTAATAGTAACATAAACAGTAAAAGATCATTGATAATATCAGTGTAGTGGCATAATCCAAAGTTTTGGACCAAATCAATTTTAAAAATAATAAGTATCTGTTTACATTTTGAAGCAGAGGAAAAGATATCAGTAACAGGTCCAATACCTATCAGTTTTTTTTGTTAGCTCCCAAGATTTTCATTTTTAATGACATTTTTCGTGTGAACGGTGAAAATAATTATCCATACTATTAATTTCAGTGACCATTCCGATCAAAGTAATCTCTTCATTACTTCTACACAGCTCTTGCAAAAATGACCAATACTGGAGTTTTATTTTTGATTGTTTTCAAAACAGTAAATATAGTAAAAATAATGGAATTGCCACATTTTAAAAGCAAAATGAATGACTAAAAAAGAAGTTTAATGGTTGTCTCAACTTTTGAAAGATGATCTGTGAAAACATACCGTAACATTTTGAATATTTGTTACATATATTTTAGCTTCCGAGTCCTTCGTTGCTATACCATAGATCTCCAAACTATGATTGTTTTAGTTTCGATCATCTATTAAGCTCTAATAAAACAGTTGGAGAAGTTCGAAGTCAGTCTCTTCTTTTCCAGTTTTTCCTAAATTGTTATATTTCAAGTCTGATCGCAACAAATTAGAATTGCAATAACTGAGCTGTCACTATTTGTACATTGGGATAAATTCATATGAGAAAAATTTGAAATTGTCTTTCCCAGTAACGTGTTAATCGATCCGAAAAAGTGTTAGTCAATAGGAATCGTTTGTTTCAAAAGTTGAAAACTGATAATATCTGAATTCGAGAATTTCTACAAAGGAATAATCCAACACATTTTTTTGTGGGAAAGAATTTCTTGGAGTCATAACATCAATATATATTTAGTAGATAAAGACTTTTAGCTTTTTTCAATACCGAAATGTTGTTTACATCGAAGTTGCGCAAATGTCATTATAACTTGAAATTTATTTTTCCATTTTCTCTTTGTAATGTATGTCGTAGTAGTTCTTAGAAAGACTGGAAAAAAGATTGATGAATAAATATCTGAGCAAATTTTATAGGAAATGTGATAATACAGAAAACTTATTAAATTCATAAACATGATTTTCTGCGATTTAGAAATGCACCAGTTAAATAAAAACGAGATTACAGAAGATAAGAATAAACTGGAAAAACTGGAACAGATCGAAAGTGATGAATAACCATAAAATCATGAGTCATGGTCCACTTTTCCCTTTCCTTTTCCTTTATTTGAAAGATAGGCTTCAAGGAATAGTGATCGAAAGAGCAAAATCTGAAGAGTGTAATTCTCTTTCTTCATTGGTTCTCTAAGTTCTGTCTACTTCATACGAATTAGCAACTGTAATATATACGACTCGATGTTGTCGGAATAATGCTACCACAGGAGTAATATGTAGATTTTGTCCAGCAAGGTAAAAAGGAATGATTATGTTCAGTTAAAGTTCTTAAAATTTTATTGCACTGAATTCAACATTATATTTAGCTTGTTAAAAATAATTCGCAGATATAACTAAAAAAGAATTGCAAAGCCAATTTGATAATTTGTCATTTCTTGCATTTTTTTTCAGCTTGAAATTATTTTGAAACTCAATTTAAATTGTATAAACTTTTTGGAATTACCTTGACCTTTTGGCATTTTTTTTTTGTCATCTATAACATTATATACAGATCTATTTAGTTTTTGCGAGCTAATCTTAAGTTGAGAAGTTTTCAAATAATTTTGATCTCAAATGACAGTTAGCTTTTTGTCGAAAGTTTGCTTTAGTAGAAAAAAATTCTGTCAATATATGAGAAAGAAAAATATTAAAACAAGAAAACTTTTGCCATCTTCTCAACAGCCGATCGATAACATTTGTTTTTTCACTTCTTTTACTATCACATTTTAGAATGGAAACTATTTGAAGTAGATTATTGTAAAGTTTTTAATTTTTCACTGCTAAATTGTCTAGATTATCAATAGTAACAGAGTGTACTCGCATTAATTTAGAATGCAACTAAAAAACCAAAGCCAAACGATCTTTTTAAGAAACAGAGAGGATTAATACGTTGATGAGAAAATGTATTCGTTCACGTGCACACCTGCATGACAACGTTTATCTACTTAAATCATTCTTTGAACAACCGGCAATTTTGAGTTATACACACAAATGTTTCCGTAGTAATTTTTCACATTATTACATTAGCACTGCTGAATTTATAAACAAATTTTCATCAAAACTTTTTGGGGAATTTAATTTAAAAATGGGAGAATCAAAAATAGATGAGGAATAAGAACTAAACGCCTACTTTCGAAAATGGCAGATTGCCTTGATTGTAAATCAGTCTTACAATGTGAGTGATCTTTGAGATGGATTGAATATATCAAAATATGTCGATGTGTTCCTGAAATCGCTGAACTACACATTTTGTCTTCAAATGTTCATCACTTATATTCTACATTAACACATCCGATACTTTTCCATAAAAACAGTGTCACCAACATTGCATACCTGTAATTTGTTCCTTCACAAGTCCCCACAAGCAATTAAATATAATGATAACCATGTATTTTTCTCATAAAATTTGTGAAATAGCTGATTTTTAACGTCGTGCACTTTTCATTTGTTGCATAAATTATAAATGCATAAAGTTTCATGCCTTTGGGCCTATTATAACAAACTATAAAGAAATTTTAGAGGGCGATTTAGTTAACTAATTTGCAAGAATTACAATTCATAAATGAAAATGAAATAATAAAAGACATGAGTGGAACGATTAGAAATTAAACATTTTTCCCAACCGAAAGATTGACTGCTTAATAGAAGGATTTATTGATTGATTAGCTTGTATGATATCATCTCACTTGTTGATAGCATCCAAATAGATCAGTGAAATTGATACCGAATCTGGTACTTTCAAACATGAAATATTAAAATCTTCAGATGAAATTGCGAAGTGGTGAGTTTTGAAATGATTGATACTTGAGATGTTCAGAAAATATTTACACTTAAAAAGTTTAAGTAAATTTAGAATTTTTTACAAATCTATAATCGATGTGACCGATTTAAATAAGCGATCATGATCACGTACCTACTGCATTAATGAAACATAACGTTAATGAAGCATAGTTCTATCATCATAGAAACAGAATGACTCATCAATGGATGAGTTATGGTAATGATTTCAAATTGAAATAAACTCAAATCTTGAGCAAATGGAAGATAAGGGAAGGGAATGACAGCGGAATACAAGTGCTTTGTAGAAGGATATGATGCCTTTTAATTTCAAGATAATCTTTCTTTGGGAATAATGCTTAACTCGGAGTTCCCAACCTTTTATAAAAACGAGAAGAGTGAAAATTATGTATGTGAAAAAATGTAATCAAAATTTTGGAAAATTCGAAAATGAACAGCAATTTTAGCGATTTGATCCATGATAAGTTTTAGCAACCTGCAAAGGAAGACATTTGCATAGTGTTGCAAGAATGTCATAAAATTGAAACATTTATTTCAGAAAATCCTGCCATCGAATGAGATATCGTCTAGATATCTCATTCGATATCACCAATGAAGTTAATTACACAAAAAAATGACATGGAATTGGAAAATTAATTGACAGAAATTCTCGGACAGATAAACGTTCTTAAACATCTCTGATAGTATTTGTCGTGCCGATGATATACTGCATAACAAACATTTAACAAGCATTTTTTATTTCTGCCATATTTCAATCTATGATTGTGACAGTTAAATAAATTGTCGTGTGCCAAAAGTGATTCAAAACAGTTTTGATGAAAACAAAACTTTTGGTTTTTCATTTCAAAATTTAGATTTCCATAGTGATCCTAATATCAGTCTTTCCTTATCAGTTCCTGATTAATAGAGCCACTATGTCAGAGACTTCTTACAGTGCTCAATAATAATTGCAATTGTTTGAAATAGCGTCTCCCATGCTCGTTCTGCATTTTCATCTTGTCGTCCTAACGCTCTGCGTACATTTTCCACCAATGGCTTTATCATTTTCTATAAAAGTTTGGTTATCAGAAATTCCTAGTTAGGTAGTTTAATGATTATTGTATGCTGAAGAAATCGTAATCAATTCATCCGAAAAAAATATCGAAACATTTTGAATTTAAATATCAAAACAATCAAAATTATTCAATCAAAATCAAAAAATGAACAATCAAAACAAGCTATTAAAATATCGAAAATATCAAGACAAAATATCAGGAAAAAAGTACCGAAATAGCTATCAAAACTATCAGAAAACAAAACATTGTTCGAAATATTCTCTCAATTGAAATAAATAAGATTTGGAGAAAATTCTTCAAGTTTTGGCAATTTCCTTAAGAAGAATTTGAAGTTCTTATGGTAGGAATGTTTAGTTTTTATCCTTACTGAAACAAATTTCTATCTTCATTTAAATGAAAAAATACTATGATCTTTCAGTAAGTTGAAATGGATACATCTGAAATCAAATATTGATCGATCGTTGAAGTTAGCTGGTCTCAAACCTGTATGTGATGTGTTTGTATATTGTGTCTAGCATGTTTGACTGAGATTCGTTGTAACACTTCGTAGGGTATTTGCTCATTCTTCAAACTTTCAATGATTTTTTTAAGGCGTTCATGTAGGTTTGCGCAAAATTTTTCAAAACATTGGATGATATCAATGAGCTATCCGGTATAGCACGAAACTGAGGCCAGAAGTATTTATAGTCCGGATTTTCTGAGAGTATCCTGTAAAGATACTAACGTTCCATATTAAAAAACCAGTTCCATTGAATAAAGTGACTGTGAACACAGATTTTGTTGGAAGAACTCCGAAAATCATAATGCAAATTTTCTGCCGGATTATATAAATTAAAGCCACGTTCAAACAAAATTTCCATAATATCCAACGAACGGGGTGACGAAATCGTGTAAGTAAAATTAAAGCAATGAAGAGGATATAAGCTAACAATGGACAGCGTAAAACAAAAACGTCTCAGTACCTACACAATGGACAGTGCCAAAAGGTAGCCACACCTTCATGATAGCCCCGATAGAGCTTACAAAGCTCCTGCCTAATCCTTATATATATATATATATATATGAAAAGATCTCGAGACAGATAGTTGAGTTCAGTTTTTACAATCGAGCAGACAATACATCTCATCGCTTATCCTCCGCCACCAACCCACAACCAACGATATCTTCGCATATCCGCCACCATTGGACAACAAACTACGATATTCTTCTATCCACTAAATACATTTCCCGTAACGTATTCCCAACTCAACGACCTATAAACTTACCGACAGTCAAATTATTGTCCAAGTTAACGACAAGGAGTTTGTTAGTTGACCATATTACTAGCTTTTTGTATAACTCGTTTATCATTGCTTACCAATTCATCGTGTTATATACATGCATATTTTTATACCCTTTTTTCTTGTTGTTAACTAGTAATATTGTGCAAGACAATATTACCTCCCGAACAAATCTGTATCGCCGAGAAAGGAGTTCAAGAGAAAAACTATTTCCCAACAAATTTTTGGTGCCACGAGCCAGGAATGTCGGAGACTATAATCAAAAAGTGCTTAACCGGCAAAGCAAAAGTTGGAGGATCTTCTCTACGAAGTAAAAGCAATGGAT